ATAGGGGCTATGTAAGGTTTAACCTTTGTGTCTTGGCCATCAGGGCCTTTGTACTCCAGAGTTTCAACACTTTGTTCCATATCAGACATAGTTCCAAGACCTATAAATGTAGCTTTTACTCTGGTCTTAGGCCATTGCTCTGGCCACATATGAGAAGCCATGATGGATACATCCACCCCAGTGTCTACTAACCCTTTAATTTGAATATTATCTTTAAAACAGATTTCACACTGTGGACAGGAGTCATTTTAAAAAGTATGCCAATAAACTTGTTTCCCTGTACTGCCAAAGCCTCCTTCTCAGGCTATTGGAGCAGCTTTACCTTTGTGATAAGGTAATATCAAAATTTGAGCCACTCTTTGTCCAGCTTGTAGCTGAAGTGATTTAGTTGAAGAAGCCATAATAAGAATTTCTCCATTATAATCTGCATCTATTATTCCTGGATGGACATTAAGTCCTTTCATAGTAAGACTGCTTTTTCCTAATGTAAGTCCTACTGTTCCTTTAGGGATAAGTCCATAAATTCCTGTAGGTAATTTTTTAGGAGAGTCAGCAGGAGATTTCAACATATATTAATATTGGTAAATCCAAAGCTGCACTCTCCTGTGTGGCATGAAACAAATCTTGTACATGTAACTGTGTTACTGATTCCTTTACTGATTTATCTGGGCATGATCTGACCCATTGCTCACTGGAAAGCTTGGATTCTTTGAACCTGGGCCCTGAGCTGGGCCCGACTGGAGTTTTTTGACACATTACAAGCCTCAGTTTCCTCCTTTGGTGACAATAAATTGCCATCCTTATCATGGATAGAATGACATTCATTTGCCCAATGTCTACCTTTGCCACATCTATGGCAAATTCCATTAGGTGGAGGCTTAGACTCCTCCTTTAAAACTTCCCCTTTTTTGTAATCCTTTTTGATATGACCAACTTTTCCACAATTAAAACACTTAGGCTTTTGTTTAACCACTTGCAAGGCTGAAGTAACAGCTGTCACCATAGCTGCCACTTGTAAATTAGCTTGGAATGTACCAGACCCAACCTCCCTGCATGCTCGCAGGTATTGTTCTATGGTTACATTTTCTTGGTGTCTGATTCCAGCTAAAGCTTGCTTGCAATCTGTGTTGGCATTGTCAAAAGCCACCTGTAATAATAGCATGTGACAAACATCAGCTCCAGGAATAGAGCGCTCAATTGCCGTCTTTAAACGGGCTACAAATTCAGAATAAGGCTCATTATTACCTTGCATTATTTTTGTAAAAAATTGTCCCACTCCACCTTTATCCTCTAATTTTTGCCAGAATCTAAGACAAATATCTTTAACCTGAATCAAAACATCCTGGGTCAAAGCTAATTGAGCTCTTACTGTTTCTACATTGCCTGACCCAGTAAGCTGATTAACCGAAGCTCTCGCTCTGCAGTCTTGCACTTTTGCATTCTCCGTCCACCAACCTTTAAATTGTAAGAATTGCCCAGGACTTAGGGTTGTTTTAGCCAAAGTATCCCAGTCTATTGGCAGAAAAGAGTGATCAGCACAATAAGAAGTTAAAATACCAATAACATAAGGAGAAGTAGGTCCATACATATGAATGGCTTCTTGTATTGTTTTTAGAAATTTTAATTCTATTTGAATATGAGTAGCTGGTCTGGATCTACCATTAGACTGAGTTTCTCACAGAACCAGAAAGGTGGCTGGATCACCCCCCTGAATTTCAGTTATAGAAATTGGAGGTTCATTTAATAAAGCCACCTCTGAAGTTTCTAAAGAAAAATGATATTTAGCAACAAATCTAGAATCAGAAGGATCATTCCAAACTGGATAAATACCTGGAGGGGCATTAGGATGCCATAGGCCATCTGTCCAGGGTCCGTCCTCCATAGGGGGAGCAGACGTCTTAAGCAGATAAACAGTATAGCATTTGGATTCTGCTTTAAAATCTCCTTTAGAATCTGCCTTAGAGTCTGCCTTAGAGTCTGCCTTAAAATCTGCCTTAGAATCTACCTTAGAGCGCTCTTCAACATTTTTCTTTTCCAAACAATTTATTCTTTGATTTATAGTGTGAAAACCTATTATCATTTTCTTTAAACTTTCAAACTTCTTTTCTGTAGGATCTTCACAAGCTGCAAGGCTTGTGTCAGTGTCGCTATCAAAAGTAGTTAGATCACCAGAGGGCCATCTGGCAGCACCCACCGGTCCATCCAGCTCTGGAGTTTGTTCTCTGGAGTTTGTTCTGCATTCTCATGCATTGGCTCTTCTGCAGCGGCGGAGGGGGAGGGAGGCGCTCCCAGTCAGAAGCTGAAGCATCCAAACAGGATTGAAATGGCTCCAGGGCTGTATGTACCAGATAATAGGCGCCCCAAACATTTTTATTTATAAACTCTCCTTTCTGGTGTGCTCTCCTAAAAGCTCGGCCCACTTTCTCCCATACCTTTATTATTATTTTTTTTTTCATTTTTTTATTAGATCATAATTGTGTACATTAATTCTCTCATAGGATATAGTGTGTTACTTCTATATGCAGTTTGGAAAACTCTCATCCAGGTGGCTAACATAGCCATCATGTCTTTCTCATAATTGTTATGCTAAGACATTTATATTCAACCTTTAGACAAATTCACCTGTACCCAAATAGAATAAACTATAGGCATGATCCCCACAATATCATTCTCTTCACCCACCCTCCTCCTCCCCTCCCCTCCCCCTCCCCCCTCTTCTTTCCCCGTATTCTAGGTCTCCATTTGGATTGTAGCTTTCCTAAGATAGCTAACAATTAGTTTCATAGTAGTGTTGAGTACATTGGATACTTTTTCTTCCATTCTTGAGATACTTTGCTAAGGAGGACATTTTCCAGCTTCATCCATGTAAATATGAAGGAGGCAAGGTCTCCCATACCTTTAAATTAAGCTGAACTTTTCTCTCAGGTGTAAACCAATGGCAATGTTTAACCACCACTGGAAATAATTTTTTTAATGTATGAGTGGGTACTGGAATGCTCATAGAAGCAATTAAGGTTTTAAGCAAAGCGACATATTGATCTTCCAAAGTAGAAGTTTGTCGTACAGTTAAATTATTCCCTGTCTCTCTTTCCAATGCCGAGAGTTGCATGTACTACGCATACCTGGCTCCACGTGCGGGATGGATGGATCCAAATTGCAGATGTTCTTCCTCAAGCAATTTCCGCCAAAGGCTCCGCCTGCGGTCTGAATGAAGGGGGACGTCCTAATGAAGGTGGCCGTCCCCCATTCGGCGTTCGCTGAGTCCTTGCCTGTCCCTCTTGCTACCCTGCAAAGCACCCTGCTCTCTGCGCCAAATTGTTGCTTTGGGGATTCATGAGAGACAGACAGCGTCACCACAGGTGTAGTCTCACATCTGGAATTATTATAGTGAAAGAGACAGACTACTCGCTGATGGCAAGTAATCAATCTTTATTGTTCAAGACCACCTTTTATAGTTGGCTGGTCACGTACACACTATTAATTAACAAGTAAAGTATACATACTACTAATCTTTTGAAAAGTTAGTTCAATCTTCAAAGAGACACAAAGTTTGAAAACTCCAGGCAGCTGCAAAAGGGAGTACATCTAAAGACTTGAGATTACCAAGAGGAGAGTAAAACTCCGAAGTTATACTATGCCTATAACATTTCTGTAACATTGTGTTACAGAAAGCAGATTTATGGCTTCTGTTTCAAGGCAACCTGGAGGCCTTCAAAGTTTTACAGTAAAAGAGTTCTTCTTCACTTATCAACCCCTAGGCTGTGTCTCTGCAGAAAGGTTTTTAACTTCTTCTTTGCAGGCTTAACAGCCACATGGCCAGAGTCACTGGAGATGGGTTTTTATGTTGTAATCCCCAGGCCCTGTTCCATGCTGACCAGGGATACCGGGTCATCGACAGAGTTGCCTTCCAGAGAAGTCTGTCCACCTGCCTCTGGAGCTTAGAGTGAGCACACAGTTTGTGAGGGAGCACACAGTTGCGGGATTCTACCCCACACACTATGTTGCCCTCAGTAGAGAGCTGTGGCGTCACAGCTCACAGCAACCTCAAACTCTTGAGCTTAAGTGATTCTCTTGCCTCTGCCTCCCAAGTAGCTAGGATTACAGGAGCCACAACAACAACTAGTTTTAGAGATGAGGGTCTCACTTTTGCTCAGTCTGGTCTCGAACTCGTGAGCTCAAGCAATCCACCCGTCTTGGCCCCCCAGAGTGCTAGGATTACAGGTGTGAACCACCATGCCCTGCTTGTTTCATATTCTGACCTCACCACTTACATACCACAAGCCTTGGACAAATCATTTTTAGTTCTCTCAAGTTAAGTTTCTTCATTTGAAAATGGGGATGATAATATTTATCTTCTGGGATTGTTATACAAATCAGAGATAATATAAGTTGAGTGCCTCCTCCAAGTAAGCATTCAGCTGCTTTTGTAGTACTATTTATTTTGCTTTCTTAGTATACTGCTTATTCAGTAGCATCTCCACCGCTGACCACCTCCCTACATTGCCACCTCTTTAAGCTGACCTAATTTTCATAGATCAGACAGGCACCATGTGTGCATATCAGTATGTAGCCCTAGTTCTTCATGTTGACCTCCTCTGTGTATTAATCAGTTTATTGCAATTCCTGGGATGGTCAACTTACAGAGATTTGGAACATTTTTCTGTCCTTTTGTTTCTAATGATATAGGTGTCTCATTATAGGTAAAAAAATTTTCTCAATTAAAAATCAGACAAGGAAGAAAGGAAAATAAAAGAAAAAAAATTCAGGTAAGGACTGGAGGTAGATTGTGGGCATATGATGGAGCCAGCAGAGTGGGTGGGGCTGTTCCAGGCTTCAGAAGACTAGAGAGTGTGAGAACAAGGTTTTACAATGTCACTTCCTTGGGTATTACAGCTGCCTTCCTAGAGGGATCCCAGAGCAATTCATATTTCAGGGATGTTGAACATCCCTGAACAAATGAACAAATGGTGAACAAATGGTGATGAAGATGATGACGGAAAGTAAGCCAGGAAACCAGCATTCACTGGGCACCCATGAGGTAACGAGCACTTTGCCAACCCTCATATTCCATCTTCTAAAGACCTAGAGTGCAGTGGTCGCCAATGTCTGGAAACTTTTTGTTTTCACAACTGGGAGGTGCCCTGGCATCTCATGGGTAAAAGCCAGGGCAGCTGTTACACACCCTACAAGGCACGGGGCAGGTCCTCACAACAAGAATCATTTGTCCCCAAATGTCAGTAGTGCTGAGGTTGAGAAACTCTGCTTGAATAGCAGGAATGATAATCTTTATTGTTATAGATTTGAAACCTGAAGCTCTGAGAAGCTATCTGGCAGTCAAACCTATACTAAAGACAGCTCCAAACCCCATGCTCCTTCACTATGCCAGAGCTGTGAGAATAGTGACAGGAAAGGAACTAGGGGACAAAAATGACAAGGATAAAGAATCCCAGCACATATTCATGCTCAATAGATAGGTATTGAGATTTTTATTAAGTGAATGAATGAAAAAGAATGAATGAGAGAGGCAAATAAGGAGGAAGAGTGTGGTCTTTTATTGCCACATTGGCATACTTCCTTGTCCTCATTCCACAATCCAAAAGTTAGTCAAGGGATTATGATACCAGAAAAAAACAAATGGGGACGTGTGTCCTTGAGCCCCTGTGCTCAATTTCAGGAGTCCAGATCCCAGTCCTTTGGTGTCCAGATTGAAGTACTGGAAGACCAATGGCCCGTGCACTGTCCTCTACATTCTGTTCTAAGGAGGACAGAGACTGAAATAGGAGGTTCTAAGCTGAGTTCAGGTGACCATTTCCCTCTCTTAGAGGTTCAGGCCAGCTGTGGCTCCAGAGGAATATATAGGGAGTTGTGTCTCAGTTTCTAAAATTTCCATGTATCTAAACATGGACTGAGCCAGATTTGTTCTTGGAAGCCCTGAATCTTTTGGGAGGGACAGTTGAGAGGAAAGAGGGTGGAAGGGGAGGAGTCTAGATAAAACAGAACATTTCTTTTTCACTTCCTCTTTTGGACTCTAGATTTTCTCTGTTCTCTGGGGTGGAATTTGCCAAACTTCGAGAGAAGCCTGTGCCTGATGTTGTGTGGTGCCAGCTCACTCCAGAGGCTGATGCAAATCCCCTCATTCCTACTCCTCCCTGCCATGGACAGAGGCTGGGCTGACTGCAAGCCCTTCCAGCCTTTGGGCCATATGTTCCTGTGGACAGCTGTGCTATTCCTGGGTGAGTCAAAGTCCCCAGGAAGGAGGGAGAAGGAGAAATACCTTGGTTGGGGCTGACCTTGGGCAAGGATGAGGGGTGGCAAGGAAGCGTGTCAGGGAGACCAGGAGGGTGATGGCAGGCTGGTGAAGATCAAACTCTAACAACTCTGCTGGCCTTGAAAAGCCCTAAGATTGGCAGGCATTGGAGTTTCTTAAGTGTTTTTACCAAATTTCACTGGACACCCAGGCACTTGATGCTTTGCCATTCCCCACATCAAAACCTGCTCTGAGGAACATCTAGTAACCTACATTTGAATGACAAATGAGTGGCCAGAGGGTTTTCCTCTTTCGAAATTTGTGTTTTACCGTGGGACCAAATCTTAGGCAAGGTGCTCATGCTGTCTTAGATAAGGGGTAGGGAGGAAGCTGTAAGACATACTTCGGGGAGTGTTGGCAGTGGCCATTCTCTGGGCTTCTAAAACCACTTCATGCAACAGATATATATTCTCTTTATGTGTAAGGAGGGGCCCCTGGGCAGGAGCACAAAGTAGGTCTGTGTTATCTGGGGAAAGGGAGCTTTGAACACATACAAAACTGGGTAATTCTGGAATTATCAATTGTGGAACCAGAGAAATCACACATCCCTCCTTTCATAGGGCCATGAGGGTAGGTTCCTGGCTCTGATCAAGGCCAAGATGGGGGACTATTTTTCTGACTGTCTTCTCAGCTGTGGGCCAGAGGATGGTGATTAATGGTATTGGATGGTTGGAAGAATCTAGGGAGGCAGGTAGGGTAGATCTACTGCCTGCACCACCTCTGTAAGCTCAATTCCTGGGCTTCCCCCACACGTCCCAGAGACAGCATATGGCCACTCCCCCAAGTCACATGCTATGATGAGTAGTGAACTCTGGTCAGCTCTGATAGCCCCCAGCCCTCAGTGCTAAATGATGTTGGCTACAGGAGGCAGGAGTAAGGAAGAGAGAGCATCCCCCATAAATGGGATGGAATGGATCAACGTAGACTAAAACATAGAGAGTACTGAACTACCTACCTCATTCTTCCCCTAGAGAGGCGATAGTCTCTGCTGTCCCTGCTAATACATGATAGCCATAAAGTTCGTGTGCAATTTAAAATAGCATACACACTAACCGATTGTGCAACTACAGCTGCCAATAGTGCTCTCTGCCAGTCTCTGCCAATAGTGCTACCAAGAGGCCATCATCTGGGCAAGACTCTCAGGAGAGACCTTTGGTATTTTTTTACATCTACCTTTTGCTAATAAGTCACAAAGGATCCGCTCCATCTTTTCCATTCTTTTTTTTTCTTTAAGCGACAGAGTCTCACTTTGTTGCCCTTGGTAGAGTGCTGTGGCGTCACAGCTCACAGCAACCTCCAGCTCTTGGGCTTAGGTGATTCTCTTGCCTCAGCCTCCCAAGTAGCTGGGACTACAGGTGCCGGCCACAACGCCCAGCTATTTCTTTTTTGCAGTTTGGCCAGGGCTGGGTTCAAACCCGCCACCCTTGGTATATGGGGCCAGCACCCTACTCATTGAGCCACAGGCACTGCCCCCATCTTTTCCATTCTTATCACACCCTCCACATTTAGGTCTTCATCACTTGAAAACTCAGCTTTTACAGCACCCTCTGATCAGAACTTGATTGCTTCTATCTCCCCTTCCCCGCATCCTTGCTGTATGCTGAGGCCACAGAAGCTCAGGGACAGTTCTGGCAGAGTCACTGACTTCCATGCTGCTCCACAGCCTACTGCAAAAGCTCCGATTCTACCCTACTGACCGAGCTCCCCTTTGCACCCTAAATGAATCTTCTACAGTTAGGAAAGATGCACCATGCACTTCCCGTTTCCAACAGCTTCACTCCTGCTGGTTCTCCAAACTGCCTTGCTTAAACTTTGTATAAACTCTATGGGCAGGCACAGTTTGAGGACATGCAGAGAGCACAACACACAGCTTTCCTGATCTGAAGTACAAGGTCTTGGTCTCCCACCCAACGAGTACATTGAGAGGGAAGGTATTTAGCATTCACCACTATTTGTTGCATGTGGTACAAATAAATGATTCACGACTTCTCCTGACTTCTCTCTCCCCTCCTTATCTATTTCTTGTGTTCTCTTCCTCTTCTTTTTTACTCATACTCCACTATACTGTCCCCCTTGCCAATCTCACATACTCAATGTCTCTATTTTTGTGCCAAATACCATGCTGTTTTGATCACTATGGCCTTGTAGTATAGCTGAAAGGCTGATAGGGTAATACCTCCAGCTTTGTTCTTATTACTAAGAATTGCCTTGGCTATGTGGGGTTTCTTTTGGTTCCATGCAAAATGAAGAAATATGTTTTTCCAAATCTTGAAAGTACAATGATGGTATTTTAGTGGGGATTGCATTGAATCTGTAGATTGCTTTTCACATTTTCACAATGTTGATTCTTCCCAGCCATGAGCAAGATATGTTCTTCCATTTGTTAATATCTTCTGCAGTTTCTTTTCTTAGGGTTTCATAATTTCTTTGTAGAGGTCCTTCACCTCTTTTGTTATGTATATTCCTAGGTATTTCTTTTTTTAAGCTACTATAAAGGGAATTGTGTCTTTGATTAGCTTCTTATCTTGGCCATTATTGGCATATACAAAGGCTACTGATTTGTGGACATTGATTTTATATCCTCTGACATTGCTGTATTTTTGTTGCTGTTGTTGCAATTTGGCTGAGGTTGGGTTCAAACCTGCCATCCTTGGTATATGGGGCTGATGCCTTATTCACTGAGCCACTGGCCCTGCCCTTTTATTTTTTATTTATTTTTGTTGTTGTTGTTGCAGTTTGGCTGGGGCCAGGTTCAAACCCACCACCCAAGGTATATGGGGCTGGCGCCCTACCCACTGAGCCACAGGAGCCACTCAACATTGCTGTATTTTTGATCACTTCTGGGAGTTTTCTGGTTGAATCTTTGGGGTTCTCTAAGTATAAGATCATATTGTCAGCAAAGAACCAGAGTTTGACCTCCTCTGTGCCCATTTGGATGCCCTTTATTTCCTTCTCTTGCCTGGTAGAACTTCTAGCAGTATGTTGAATAGTGGTGATAGAGGACAGCCTTTTCTGGTTCTAGCTCTAAGTGGAAAAGCTTTCAGTTTTACTCCATTCAGTATAAATTAGCTGTAACTTTGTCGTAGATGGCTTTGATCAGATTAAGGAATGTGCCACCTATGCCTAAATTCTTAAACGTTCTAATTAGAAAAGGATGTTGAATTTTATTGAATGATTTTTCTGCATCTATTGAGAGGATCACATGGTCTTTGTTTTTGCTTCTGTCAATATGATGAATGATGTTTATGGACTTGTGTATGTTAAACCGGCCTTGCATCCCTGAGATGAAACCTACTTGATTGTGATGAATGATTTTTTTAATGTGTAGCTATAGTCTATTGGCTAGGATTTTATTGAGAATGTTTGCATCTATATTCACTGGTGAAATTGGTCTGAAATTCTCCTTTTTAGTTGGATCTTTTCCTGGTTTTGGCATCAGGGTGATGTTTGTTTCATAGAACGTGTTGGGGTCATTGGTGATTGACAAGAAAAGTTTTAGTGGATTGCTGATGACAGAATCCAAATTGTGGAGAATTATTGAATGGAAGCAGAATAAATGACGACAGCCTGTGTAGGAGACAAATGGAGAAATTTAGTTATGAAAGGGACCAGAGAAATGGAGTAGTTAAAATTATATGTGGAGTCAAGGGACAGGTTTTTTTTTACATGGAGGACCCTGGAATATATTTACATCAGTCCAGCTGAGAGAGAGAAATTAATGATGCAGAAGAGACAAGAAATAACAGAGTAGGAAATTGTGAGAGGATGAAAGGGAATGGGATCAGGGCACACATACAGAGACTGACTGCAGATAGGAGGAGAGATACTTTCCCCAATGAAAAGCAAGAAAGAAGATAGAGATGAAGATAGGTTAATTAATATCATTGGGGAAAGATGTGAGATCTGTCTAACTGTTTCTCTATGAAGTATGAGAAAAGGCATCAGCTAAAAGAGAGAAAGGGCCAGGCACTGTGGCTCATGTCTGTAATTCCAGCACCCTGAGAAGCCAAGGTGGGTGGATTGCTTGAGCTCAGGAGTTTGAGACCAGCCTGAGCATGAGTGACACCTTGTGTCTCCTAAAAATAGAAAATATTAGTCAGGTGTGTGTGTTGGGTGCTACTGGGGAGGCTGAGGCAGGAGGACTGCTCAAGCCCCAGGGTTTGAGGTTGCTGTGAGCCATGATTCCATGGCACTCTACCTAGGGTAACAGAGTGAGGCTCTTTTTCAAAATAATAATAATAATAATAAAATAAAAGAGAGAGGGGAGTGGAGGTAGAGAGGATGGTATGGAAAAGTCTAGAGAATGAGGAAAAGATGAGTGTCACCAGTAAGAGTAGCTCAGCAAATTCATTGAGAATGGCATTTCAGTGTCTTTTGGAATGTGGTGATCAGAAATTTACTGGCTCAACAATGTGCCCGCTTATGTGTTAATTTTAGTAACACACAGCTGAACAAGTAAAGACATAGAGAACATAGGTGCATTTGGTAGAGATGGAGAATAGCAAGGGAGTTGAGGGTATTTGCAAAGAGGTGATGATAATGATACATTATTGAATCCAAGTTGGGCATGCTTAGGCTGAAGGACAGACAGTGATGAGGTGGGTGCCTGGGTTCTTTTTTTTTTGAGACATAATCTCACTATGTCACCGTTGGTACAGCCATGGCATCACAGCTCACAGCAACTCTTGGGCTTAAGCGATTCTCTTGCCTCAGCCTTCCAAGTAGCTGGGACTACAGGCACCTACTACAATGCCCAGTTATTTTTTTGTGGTAGTTGTCATTGTTGTTTTTAGCAGGCCTGGGCCAGGTTTGAAACCACTGGCTCTGGTGTATGTGGCCAGCGCCCACTGAGCTATGGGCACAGAGCCAATGCCTGGGTTCTTGATGAGGTCAACGTGATTATGGGGGCTGTACTTGAGCTGATGAAATGGTAGAAGAGGAGGTTGTAATTGAAGCATGGGTTGTTTGGTTTTGTGATTTAGTGTTGGTATAGGTTCTGATGATGAATGAAGTGTTAGGTATAACATGTGTGTCTAAGAAAGAAGTTCATCTCCAAAGAAAGTTCACCGGAGGTGAATAGGTCAAGGAACGAAGAGGCCAGATGTTGGGTAAGTCAGCTACCTATTCTGGATCATTGCAATAGTCTCTTTATTTCTTTATCTTCATGGTAATTCCCCTGTTCCAATCTGACATGGCACTTTCAGCTCCAATTTGAAAATTCGAAGCCATTTCCCACTGTCTACTAAACCAAACAGTAAACTTTTTAAAAGTTAGCTTACATTTATTTAAAACTTACCCTGTATCAGGTAGCTTGCTAAATCCCTTATCTGGACTATCTCATTTAATCTTTTTTTTTTTTTTTTAACAACTGTATGAATTAGGTACTGTTGTCATTATCCCAACTTCCAAGCAAAGAAACTGAAGCAGAGAAAAGTCATTTGTGCAAGATCATTTAGCAGTGATACATCATTCAGCTTGATATGTGCTCTCACCCACTGTCACATCACCTGGCATTAAAAGCCCTCAGGGTATGGTTTCTACCTTCCTTTTCAGCTTTGTCCCTCATTATTAGAGCTGCTTGAGCAGAGACCAGCAATCAAGCAGAAGTTGGGCTGAATTTTGTTGAGAATGTTGACAAGTACTGGCCTCTCCTTCCCATGAAATACCCTCTCCTTTCTCTGTCCGTGAAAATCCTATCAATCCATGAGGAATGCCTTCTTCTCCACAGGATTTCTACCCTTTCCAACCCCAAAGCCTGCCAAATACAGAGCCTAGGATCTTTTCCTCCTCTGAACCTTCATAGCATTTTTTTACATTCCTTTGATGGCATTAAGAATATCTCTTTTACATTAGATCACACGTGTGGTGTGCTTATCTTCACAATTAGATCATTCCCTTCAGTGAAGGCAAGGACTTACATTCTTTCCCACAGATCTAGCATCCTTTCGCCATCTCTCCCTTCCCCTATCACATGTTTCGAGTAGCAAAACACCAGCAGACCTAAATGTCAGGCAATATAAATCATGGAAGAGTCAAATAGTAGGAGATAGAGCAGTCATTCAAAATGCAATCTAGAAATAGACTAACTCTACTAGACCTTGACTTGCTTAGAAAAATCAGGTCAGAGAACAGTATTTATAATATATCCTCATTTACCACTTATGTTTGCATGTAAACAGTGTATGTATATGCTTCCATAGAAAACATCCAACAGGCTGTATGTCAAGGTGACACTATTTTGCTCCTGTGTATTATGTATTTTCTATTATTCTACAGTGAATCACTGATTACTTGGATAATCTCTACCTCTTTCTCCACAAAAGAACAAATCTTTTTAGGGGGTGGGGGTTTGTGTTTTTGTTCCTCACCAGTCAACATGAAAAAGAACAAATCTTGCTATCAGGATAGAGTCTGGAAAAATCATTGACATCAAAGTATAAAACATCTATTAAACCCAACAGGGACCTCTTTCCAGAGGTATTTTAATTTTAATCAATCAAAAGTAGTAAGCCGAGGCAAAGTGTAACAAAACACATGGAAGAGAGTAGTATATAGTTTTATCTCATTTCCTTCTGTTCCTGGGGAAGGAGTCCCAGCCCTTTGAGAGTGCACCACTTCTAGGCAGTCCCAGGGGACGTGGGGCAAGGGCTGTGCTGCAGGTGAGGGGCGCTCAGGCCAGGGTGTGCATGTCTCAGGGTGGAGGCTTAGCTCTGGGCTGATCTTTGCTTTCTGTCTTACAGCTCCTGTGGCCAGGACATCTGGTGAGTAGTCCACCCACATCCTCTCCTTCCCCTAGATGCCCACTTCTTCTTTCCCGGGGCCCTCTCTAGAGGTGCTCAGAATGCACCAGCAACTGAGCCCAGGATCAGATCAGAATCAGAAAAGGTTCTTGGCTCCCAGAAGATGCCCTGCCCTCCCTCTCTTCTTGTTCCATCCCCTCCTCCCTTGGAGGCAGGTGAGGAGCAGCCAGGGTACATGGGCGCTCCACCTCTTCTGGTTCTGGTCACCAGCATTGTCACAGAAAACGAAAACTCTGTTCTCTCTTTTAACCACCGTCAACTCTCCAAATAAAATTGAGAGCTTCCACTCTCCAGATAAAATTCAGGCACATGGAAAATGACATGATCTGCTTAGGTTGTCCCCATGTGCTGATGCCTCCCCCACTGTGCATGTATCTCAAGCCTTCAAGGCCTGTTCCCTGGCAGAGGGGTCTCTCCATGCCTCTTGCTGCAGCTCGGTGGAGGGGGCTTTGCCAGGCACTCCTGTATCTGCACACTCAAGACTGGCCCTCCAGCTTTTCTCCCTTTCTCTTTGTCCTCCTGAGGCCACAGAGGCTCCTCTGTACTTCCGTATATGGCTTCAAGTGGCCTGGTGGACAGGTGTCCTTTGTAAGGGACAGAGAATGACTTTCGGTCAGAGCAGAAACCTGAAGCCTGACTCTATACCAGACATCCCCACCACAAGCGCTCACTTTTCTTCAGCCAGCCCTGCTAAGTTTCTCCACTCATGTCCAAATGCCTCCGCTTATAGGGAAGAACAGTGAGTCCCCAAAGAGTATATATGGAGAGAGAGATAAAGCCAGCCAGGATAGCTCTCACTGAACTCCACATACTCCTAGGGTGTTTCCCTTGTCTCCCCCTCACAGGATCAGCTGCTCTCTGAGAGCTCCCAGTTCTCTGGGACCCTGGTGGGGTGTGAGCCAGAGGAATTTTCTTCTGTAGCAGAGCCATTTGGGGCCTGGCTATGCCCTCTCGCCACCTAGTAGGTCCACAAGTGTTTCTTTGTCTGAGATTCAGGGCCTGCTCAAGTGCTTAGGGTTCCTTTTCTTCATGCTGCCCCCTCTCTATACCCCTCAACAGTCCTCCCGAAGGCTGTGGTGAAACTTGAGCCCCCGTGGATCAACGTGCTCCAGGAGGATTTGGTGACTCTGACGTGCTGGGGGGCCCACGCCCCCGGGGACTACCGCACCCAGTGGTTCTACAATGGGAGCTCCCTTCCCACCCAGGCCCAGCCCAGCTACAGGTTTAAGGCCATGCAAAATGACAGCGGGGAGTATAGGTGCCAGACGGGCCAGACCAGCCTCAGCGACCCTGTGCATTTGGACGTGTTTTCCGGTCAGTGGAAGAAGGCCCTGGGGAGCTTCTGGGAGGACCAAGAGAGATGAAATTAGCTTACACTGCAGAGGTTTGCAGGAAAGGGGGGTGGCTTGTTTACCAAAGGCATTGCTGTGAGCTTCCACTCATTTCCTATTTCACCCACCCCACTTTGCTTAGTGTGTTTGGTGGGAGTGGAAATTCCTAAGAAATTACTGTGTACGTATTAATGGTTGTTTTTGCCTCAGTTCTGATTGAGCAAATGATTAGGAGGCCACAAACAGGCAGAAAATCAAAGAGAAGCAGAAAAAAATCCCTACTCCATAAAAGTCCCTTCCATTTTTATGACAAAGTTGAAAAGCACAACAGACCACAATTGAATCCCAGCCCTGGAGATTGTTAGTTCTATAAACATGATAAATTCCTTTAACCCTCGAGTCTCAGTCTCCCCATCTGCTGAGTGAGGATATAATACCTCCAATACAGGGTTCTGATGAGATTCAGCATTTCTCTGCTCCCCTTCCGGCCTTCTCTGCCCTTTCTCCATGTTCTCATGGTGTTGGCTGCTTTTTTCTTTCTCTCCCACCAGACCATAGGCAAACTTGAGGAGAAAGCTGTGTCTTGTCCATCTTCGTATTTCCAGCACCTTAGATAAAACAGAGCTTAATAATAAGTGTTTACTGAAAGGCTGGGTGCGGTGGCTCACACCTGTAATCCTAGCACTTGGGAGGCCAAGGTGGGTGGATTGCCTGAGCTCATGGGTTCAAGACCAGCATGAGCCAGGGCAAGACCTCATCTCTAAAAATAGCCAGGCATTGTAGCAGATGCCTGTAGTCCCACAAGAGGCTGTGAAAGAGAATCGCTTGAGCCCAGGACTCTGAGGTTACTGTGAGCTATGATGCCACGACATTCTACTGAGGGTGACAAAAGCGTGACTGTCTCAAAACAAACAAAAAAAAAAGTGTTTACTGAACAGGTTGATAATTTTATGAAGCTCTTGGCAAAAGTGGGCTCTCCATAAATAAAAGCTGCAATGGGACCACGATGAATATTGTCACTGTTATTCTTCATTTAGTCCACGCTCCTCACCTGATGCCCAAATTGTCCTCAAAAGCATATGGCAAGCTAATGAGATGGCTGTGACACTGCTGTCTTCAGACAAAGACCCTGCTGGAGCAAAGGTCTAAATTACTGACATTTCTCAAGTAAATTTATCAAGTAGTTTTCATCACATAACATTGTTATAGGTTAATGATTTTCTTTCTTTTTTTTTTTTTTTGAGACAGAGCCTCAAGCTATCCCCCTGGGTAGAGTGCCGTGGCATTACAGCTCACAGCAACCTCCAACTCCTGGG